CAGCGAGAGGCTTCACCAGAGACAGAGTGGGGAGCAGAACAGGCAGATAGATGAAGTACACTGCTGAGGGGAGCAGCAGGCGGGTCAGGAGAGATCTGCCATGCCATGTGGTCACCTCCAGGGCAGGCGGGAATAGAACTTTAGCTTCTTAGTGCAGTGCTTTAACCCGCTGCGCCACCAGGGGGGGCCCTATATTTATAATTTTTAAAGGAAAAAAATAATGGAAACAATTATATCAAAAGATCAAGGCCACATATGTTAGCTTTGGATGGTAAGTGCATAAGTCTCTTAAAACTTCATCTTTACTTTTCAGGATGGTTAAATATTAAAAAAAAAAAAAATTTCCTCACCATATGCCAGTTCTGACTGAACAGCAACCAGTTCTAATTAGAACAGGAAGGCAGAGGAGAATCCAAGTGCAATTCACAACTGTATGGTCCACCCAAGAATTGCGCACAGCAGCTGCTCAACACCTCTAGAACAACCCACCATACTCCCAAATGCCAAAGCAAGGCCCAAATTCCAATAAGACAAAGAGGTACAATAATACAAAGAGGTACTGACAAAGCAGAGCTGGAGAACACCTGTTCCACCCAGGCAGAACAAAGTTCTATAGGGGGCCTTCGACCTTACTGCAGGGTATGGTCTCAGCACTGTGAAGCTGTCTGCAGCCACTGAGGCACCAGATGGAGCCCGCTCAGGGAGCTGTCCCACGTGGTGCAAGCAGAACTCCGGGGCAGCCTCAGCAGTCAACCCACCTGTTCTGCTCCCCACTCTGTCTCTGGTGAATCCCTCAGCGGCTCCCACCTCAGTTCATATACATATATATGTATATATACATATAAAATAAAATAAATCTTATTTTTAAAAAGAAAGTTCCATACAGCCGAGCTGGTCTACAGCAAAGCTTCCCAATCCATGTGGGGATACTTCTCGATCCCTCCAACCCTTGGGCTAAGGGGGCAGGGATGCCTAGAGCAGAAAACGGCGTCCGCACCCCAGCTTTCACGCAACGCTTTTTTGTACTTGCGCCAAGAAAGTCGGCGCCTGAACAAACGGCTAAGTCGCATTCGTCCCCTCACGCAGCGTCGGTGCTCAGCTTTCCCGAGGCGTCCACCAGCGCAAGGAGGAGGCGCCCCTCAACAGGGAGCGAATCGGCGGCGGGGAGCACGGGGAGCCCACTCGGGTCGAATCCCCGCCCCGGCACTTAGCACGGCGGGTCCCTGGGCGTCTTTCCTAGTCCTTCGGTCCAACTTTTTGAGGGCAATAAACTGCAGAGCGGAGGGATCACAGAAGCACTGCTAACACAGAGGTACCGTGAAGCAAACCGCAAAACTGGAAGTAAAAAGTTTTCCAGTGACCTTAAAGGGGGCCAGGAGGGGGCGCCGGCTGGGCTAGTGGAGCTCCCGGGAGAGCAGCCGCGGCCCCGACTCCGCAGGCGGAGAACTCGGCTGGCACAGGGACCGCTCCAAGTTCCAGCCGTCCCGCCCCCGGCCGCGCCGCGGGCGCCTCCCCAGCAACGCCGAAAGAGCCGGCGTTCGGGCGCCTGGGCCCCGACCGTTGGGGGCGCCAAGAGCCTCCTCCAGCCGTTCGGTTCCGAGCCCGCCCGCAGCCCGCCACAGGAAGCGTCACTAGGCCCCGCGTCCGAAATCCAAATCCGGGGTGTTATTCCGGAACCAGAGAGCTAAGCCCTGGGGAGCAGCGAGCACCCTCTCACCTGAAGCCGGAAGGACGCCACCGAGCTCCAGGGTCCACGGAAGTGAGAGTCGCCGCTTTCGCCGAACTCCGACTGCACAGGTACCAAGCACCACCTCCAGAGCAGCTCCAGCGGCCCGCTGGAGTCTCGGGCGCGACTTGCTCCTATTGGTCAGCAGTCCTAGCTGAGAACCAATAGCATCTCTTCTTCTTCATTAGGTCGTCCTTGGCTGAAACAGAGGCGCCTTCATTGGCTGGTTTGTCGTAAACTCGCTAGGCGGGACGACGCTAGCGGCCTCCTCTAATTGGTAGAGATCTACGTCTGTCATCTTTGTCCTGGCTCTCCAAATGAAGAGCGGAAGGTTTTAGCGGCACTTTGTTAGCCAAAAATTAGAGAACGCACTATTATGTGTATGGATATTATGTGTTACCCCTGTACTGGCATAGTTTTCAAGTTCTGTAATTTGAATAACTGAATAGTTGCAGCTAACCCATTTAATACAAAGTGATGAGTTATCGATATATGTAAAAACTGGGTGAACCTCAAATTATAATGAGTGAAGGAAGGCAAACTTTTTACGTATCATATGATTTTATTTAAATAACACTTAAAATGCAAACTATAATGACAGAAAGTAGATCAGTAGAAGGAAGCGGGGTGGGTACAAGGATCTGTTATAAAGGGCCATAAGGAAACTGGATGGTGATGGGTATGTTCCTTATCTTGATTGTGATGGTTTCTTGGGTGTACACGTGTCAAAAATCACCAGGCTGTACACTTTAAAATATGTGCAGTTTATCCTGTGACGACTATACCTTAGACATGCTGCCAAAAAAAGAAAAATCAGAATTGTGGGGTGGGAGATAGGAATAGAGAGATTAAGTGATGGGCATAATGGAAATTTCTGGTGTCATATTATTTTGGTAGGAACTTGCATTATTAATATGTATGCATTTGTCCAAATCTTTCAAATGGCCTAGTGAAGATCTGTGCATGTCTCAACATGGAAAAGTTACTTGCTTTCCCCCCCTCCCTGAAAAACCCCCATAAAGCAAATAATTGAATTCCAGTTAATAAGTGCTGAAGTGTTTAGAAATGAAGTGTACTAATGTCAGAAATTTTCTTTTCATGCATAAAAAATTAGGAAGGATTAATGGCTAGGGAAATACAGATAGATGGTTAAGTATGTGATCAAACAAATATAGTAAATTGTTAGTTGTAGAATTTGGGTGGTGAGTGTAGAAGTGTCCAGAGCATAATTCTACTGACTATTTTGTGTATTTGGAAAATTTCATAACTAAATATTGTCAGGAGGATTTAGATATAGGGCTTTGGGAGACACATTGTGAGAAGTCCTAAAGATTATACTTTATTAGCTTCACAGTAAATCTACTTCTGCCTGTGTGTCGGCCAGAGTGTGAATAACGAGTAGACCAGTGAGAATTTTCACTATAACTCCTAGAGAACAAAGGATTTTAAAGATGAAAGTGGTAGTACCTAAAAATAAGCTCAAAAAGCGTCATGTTAAATGTTCAACTTGGGGACAGAAAGGGGAAAAATGTTCAATTCACTTAAGTTCTACATTTTAAAATTTATGATATCACCCTCATAATTTCCGTTAAAAAAATCAAGAATAAGTAAAACATACAAAAGAAATAGTTTACAATTTTACTTCTTGAGATCACCAGAATATTAACTCTGGATTGAATATTATTTTGTCATTCTAATCTTTAGAACAGTGCTCAGCACACTTGCTGTTGAATGGCTTGGAATGGGGGTTCTGAAAAGAAAAGGTAGAGATTAATATAACCTAAGTAAAGCATACACTGTGAGCAAAGGTGGAAAATTTTGGGACAAATGGACCACATTATAGTAAACATGGGTCTGTGTATGGCAGAGATTAAAATCTAAGGGTTCCCAGGGTAAAATAGTTGGTTTGTCCTATATGGCATTAAAACAAGTTTTTATGAGATGCTATCTTTTAAAATGAGGAACATTTAGAGAAAAGTCTGAATTTCCCGTTACCTTGAATAAAATGGAAAATTCTGGAAACTTTGGGATCCCATTTCTACATGATAAAAACAGCCAGAAATGAGCTCTCTGTTTACTTAGGTTTCCCTTCCAGTCTCAACTTACTCATTAGGTTGTCTCCTGGGCTGTACAGGTATTCGAATTTGCAGGTTTTGGTAGGAGAGCTCTAAGTCCTGAGTCCTTGAGGGAAGTCTGGTTGGAGTTAGAGACATAAGGTTATGAGTATCTAAATAGGGAGTTTGTATTTAGTTTAATAGGCAAGAGAAAGAATTGAGAAGTGTTTGCTCAATTACTACTATTGTGTTTGTAACAAACCACCTCAAAACTTGGTTTAAAACAACGATAATTTATTTAGCTCATGATTCTATGAATGGACAGTTGGGCTGGACTCAGATGGAAGATTTTTCTGGTCTTGACTGAATTCATTCATGTGACTGGGTCAGCTATGGGGCTGGTTGGTCTGGCCTCAGCTGGGACAGACTATCTGCTCCCTGTGGCCTCTAATCCTCCAGCATTCCAGGCCAGCTTGTTCAAGGCTGGGTAGGGTTCCAAGAGGAGTGGAATTCTGAGGATTCACCAGAGACAGAGTGGGGAGCAGAACAGGTGGATCTACTGAAATGCACTGCTGAGGGGGGCAGTGAGCAAAATGAGAGAGGTCAGCTGTACCATGTGGGTCAGTTCCCTGGCTGGGGATTGAATTCGTGTTGCAGTGTGCAGATAGCCTCACAGTGCTGAGACTTTAACCTCTGGAGGCCCATGGAGTGGATTTATAAGATCTCTTAAAGCCTCGGCTTGAAACTAGCACATCTTCATTTCTACATTCTATTGATCAGCAAGGCACAGTGTCAGCCCAGATCCCAATGGTAGGGAACCTGATTCATTGCTTGATGGGAGGAGATCTGCAAAGTCACATTGCCAACAGGTATGAATATAGAGAGATGGTCTGGTAAAACATCAGCCTCCTTACTATGCGAGGTGTGTCTCTAGAAATATCTTTGGGAATAGGGTGTGCACTGTTATGTCTCAAATTGTTTTCTCTCTGTAACACAGTGGTTCTGCCTCTCTGCAGAAACTCCACTCTAGCAGAGACAGATGCCCAGCTCTGCCTCTTCCAGCTTCTTCCAGTTTTGTTTTCAACACTTTTCTGGGCAAAGGGAAGACATTTTCTGTAAGACTTCTGTGAACAAAAGAACAGACAGTTAGAAAAAGCAGGAGGCAGAGAACCAAGGCAGAAACTTAGACATTTCTACCACACAAAAATGCAGTAGCTGCTTTCCCTTGGCCTGCTATTGTCTAAACTAGATATTCCCAGGCAGGGAGAGGTGGAAGGAAATTGTAGGAAAGCAGCTAGTAACATGGTGAGATTAAAACCGACCCCAAGGATGTTGGGAGGGAGGATGAAGAAAGACAGGACGTGAGGAGGGAGGGAGAGAAAAAGAGATCTTCCCTGCGGAGACAGTTCAGGTTCAACAGGGCCCTGGGAGCAAGTCCTGAGTTCCTCTGGGTTTGGGCTGTTTTGTGTGCTGCGGGATGCTGAGTGGCATCAAGTCACCTCTCCTGAGGTGTCTCAAATTGTTTGAGGTCACACCTCTCCTGAGGTGTGATGCTGTCTCTATTTTTTTAAATAAAGATTTATGTTTATTTTTGTATGCATACAAGAGCTGGGGTGTAAGTCAGAGGTCCAGGGGGTGAGAGGATTCACCCGAGACTTAGTTGGGAGACGAACAGGCAGATTAACTGAAATACACTGCTGAGGGGAGCAGCAGCTGAGACAGAAGTGGCCTGCTGGGCTATGTGGGTCACCTGCTTGGCTGGGGATGAAACTCATGCTGCAGTGGCTGGAGATAGCTGAGCCTTTAACCCCAGAGCACCAGGGAGGCCCTGTGATGCTGTTTTAGACACTACCAAATATCTCCTGAGTGGCAAACTCACTTCTGGTTGTGAACAGCAAAGGAATGTGGAGCATTCCTTTAAAAGAATCCCACCTTGAATAGAGGGCCGCTCTGAGGGCTCATATGCCTGACAGCTTTTAATGATCTTCTGCAGCTCTGAAGGGCACTCTTCATCGAGTGGTTCCTGGTGCCGCTCCACAGCCACCAGCTGGTAGATCTTCTTAGAGTCACAGTCTGGAAGGGGAACATAGAAGAGCTCCTTAAAAGCTGTTCTGTTGCTCACACATCTCTCTGGGTTGTGATGGCTTGCTTCAGAAAGAGGCACTCTGGGTACTGAACAATCGAGGGCTTCCAAGCATCCTCTAAGCAGCCTAGACAGTGTCCACATTGGACATCAACGTGCCAGGACAGCACTGATGGACATTTCTAGTGGATACCCGATCACAGCAGCTTCTGGGTCAGCCTTCACACTGTTACCTTCAAATGGGATCTTCCCAGTAACGATTTCCCAGAGGATGATGCCAAAGCTGAAAGAAAACCAAGAAACTGATTATCCATAACAGGTTTCCCCTAGCCCACACCCCCCACCATTTCCAGAAAACTCAGTGAATTTCCCATCGCCACCCCATCCCACTAGAGGGCTGAACCATGACGGTCCTTAGGTGGCGTGGGAGTGGGGTTTTCCAGTTCTCTTCAGCAGTTTGGATGGTCAGGCCAACATGAGCCTACCTGTATATTTCCGCTTTTATGTCATATTTATTGTACACATTTTCCAGCCGCTGGGGTGAGGTGTACGCTGTGGAACGGACTCTCTGTGCTTTCTTGTTCTTAGTTTCTCGACTGATGGAGGTCTGTGTTTTGCTCAACTCAAATCCTGCAAGCTGGAGAGAGAGGTAATTTAGACACAGAAACAGCACAATTTTGGGGGAAGAGGTGAAGAGGGGAGCCTGACAATTCCTGATTGTTCTTTCAGGAGGCATTTCTAGTGGTGTGGTTACTCTACTGGCTGGCATTATGGGTTCAATTTTGTATGGTGTATACCAACCAAGAGAAACACAGGGGTTTCTTCTCTTTAAAACTGGACAATGAAAAAAAAAGGAACAATGGGGCTTACTGGAGATAGTGGTGAGAAAGTACCTGTAAGGCCTGGTGGGTTACCATGGCTCTGGCATCGCTATGTGAGCGATGGCCGTCTCAGTTGAGGACCGACTCTACTATGTGAGCTTGGTGGAGGAAGTGTGGATGGCATAGAGCCATCACATGGCTTACTTGCTTTCAGAAGCAGATGAAAAAAGGACATGGGGGCATCCTCTCTGCTCAATTTGACCGTACAGGGCGTCCAGCCTGTTCCTTTGGATTTCACATGACAAGTGGGAGTTACCCCATTGCCCCTGCAGGGCCAGCATGATGCTGCTGTTAAAGAAGCCACTGCACCACGAACAGGAACACGTATTCTTGTCCCACGCACAACTGTCCTTGGCATCATGGGTGTGCATAGGGCTGCCAGCCCCCCAACGCAGCTGGATACCTAAATGAAGGGGCAAAGCTGGGAAAACAGTAAGGCTATGGTATGGCTCAGCCTTCTCATGTACGTGTTCACTGTGCCTGGTAGACTCTGCCTTCCGGCACGTGGGAGACACCATGGATAAAGCACAGAATCCACATGCTGTGGTCAGGCGAGCTGAGGGGCATGAATGTGGCGTCGACATGCGATTTAAGAGTACTTCTAAGGCACTGGCAGGGGGAAAGGCATCTGAGAGGCAAAAAAGGCCTGTCCCTGCTGCCTGAGAGCTGTCTCTCCCTGACACTGGAAGAAATGGCTGGCAAGGAAAATGTTGTTTTTGGGAAATGTGGTTGTGGAGTGAACAAAAACTCTCCCCTCCTCTGTAGGAGGGCTTTTCAGTTAACTTTTGTTTGTTTAAGATTTATTTATTTATGCATAAAAGAACTGGGGTGCAGTTTAGAGGTGCAGGGGGGGTGGGGGGCTGGTGGTGAGAGGATT